AAAAAAAAAAAAAAAAAGGAGGTAAAGGAAAAACTGAGCAGAGAAGGAATAAAGCAAAGAGGGATTTGGATTTGGGAGACACTGAGGGAAAAGGAGATTTAGGGAATTCCAGGAAGGAATTCACCCCTCAAAGAGCTCCAAGGGAATATTGGAATGATGGGATTTCCATGAGGGAATTCCTCTCTCAGAGATCTCCAAGGAAATACTGAAATTAAAGGACATCCATGAGGAAATTCCTCTCTCACGGAGCTCCGAGGGAATATTGGAATTAACGGATTTTTATGAGGGAATTCCTCCCTCCGGGATCTCCAAGGGAATATTGGAATTAAGGGAAATCCGTGAGGGAATTCCCAACTAAAAAAATGGGATTTGAGGCTTTAAAGCTGTGGAAAATCACGGGAAAATGGAACTCTCTCACGGAGCACCAAGGGAATATTATAATTAAGGGATTACTATGAGAGAATTCCTCCCTCGGAGATCTCCAATATTGGAATTAAGGAACATCCATGAGGGAATTCCCTGCACGGAGGTCCCCGGTGATGGGGGGGGGGGGGGGGGGGGAGGACCCGGACCCCACAGCGCGTCGCACACGCCATCCCCGCCTCGCTCTCCCGTGCCACCCTCGCTGCCCGCAGGAACCGGGAGCACCCAGAGGGAGCCGCACTCACCCCCGCGCCCCGCGGGACAGCCCCTGGCGCGAATGGCGGCGGCGGCGGCGACAGTGAGGGGCTATGGCGGGCGCCGCCGGAACCTCTGCATCGGGAGGGTGGGGGCCGGGGGGGAGAGAAAAGCGGAGCGCAGCGGTGCGGAGCTCAGCCAATAGGAACGCGCAGCTCCGCTGGGCTCAGCCAATAGGAACGCGCAGCTCCGCGGGGCTCAGCCAATAAGAACGCGCGGAGGGCGCAGGCGCGGAGCGGGGCCGGTGTCGCACTGAGGGAGGTGCGTGAAGGGTCGGGGGGGCTCGGATGGGCCCGGGGGGGTTCGAGGTGGGGCTGAGGGGTCACAAATTGGGGCTTGGGGGGCTCCGGGAAGGGAATGGAAGGGCTCCGATCCATGGCTGGGGTGGTCTCCGACTGGGGCCGATGGGGTTTCGAGCCGGTGGGGTCTGGCGGGTCCGACGGGGCTGGAGTGGGTTCGGTGTTGGGGCCGGGGGAGGGTCTCCAACCGGGGGCTGGGGTGGTTCCGAACCGGGCACCGACGTCGGGTCAGGGCCGGGGCTTCGAACCGGGCCTTGGGAGGACTTGGACCGCAGGCCTGGCCGAGAATGTGGGGGGCTCCGATCCATGGCTGGGGTGGTCTCGGAGCGGGACTGGGAGAGTTCCGAACCGGGGACCGGGCACTGACGGCTCCGGGGCGGGGGCCGAGAGTGGAGGGGCTCGGATTGGGGCTTGGGGGGCTCCGAAACCGAGCCCGGGGGCCAGAATTGAGTCCTGGGTGGAGTTGGCTCCGCAGCGAACCCGAGCCAAGGCTGGGCCCGGGGCTGGGTTGGGCTCGGAAGCCGAGCAGGGAATTTATGGATAGGGAAGGGATGATGTGGGTGAAGGGATTGGGGGCGATCTCCAATAAATTCCTGGATAACACCGAGTTGTGTGAGAGCGTGGCCATTGAGGGGTTGGAGAATTCCTGGGGGAGCTGGGAATGTTCATCCCGGAGAAAAGGGAGATCGGGAGGGACCTTGAGGCTCTGCACAACTCCCTGACAGGACAGGGTGAGGAATTTGGGATCTGCTCCCAGGGAACAGGGACAGGAGGAGAAGGAGGTTGGATTTTAGGAAAATTCCTTCCTGGAAAGATCTGCCCAGGGAGGTTTGGAGCTCCCATCCCTGGAGGTGTCCCAGGAATTCCTGGATGTGGCACTCGGGGCTCTGGTGGGGATGGGGCACAGGTTGGATTTGGAGGCTTTTCCAAACTCAGTGGTTCTGGAATTTCATAGTTCTGGAATTCTGAAGTTCTGGAGGAGCCTGGCCCTGCAGTGACAGAGGGGTTTGGCTGTTGTCCTGTGGATTTCCCAAGTGGGATTGGGAAAAATGGGGAATTTTCTGGGATTAGGGAAAACTCCTCCAGTGCCTGAAGAGGGAGAGGGGTTTGGGACAAGGTCTGGAGGGACAGGACACAGAGAATGGCTTCGTGCTGAGAAAGGGGAGATTGGGGTGGAATTCCTGGCTGGGATGGAATTCCCAGAGAAGCTGGGGCTGCCCCTGGATCCCTGGCAGTGTCCCAGGGTAGCTGGGATCCACCTGGGAGAGTGGAAAATGTCACTTTAAGGTCCTTCCCAACCCAAAAATTCTCTTTAATACTCTGTTCTTTGGGGTGAGGAGGAGGAAAAAGGAAGAGAAAAGGATTTAAATCCTTGGCAGGAGGGAGGAATTCCCGTTTGGGGTGAATGAAGGAACAGAGGTGAGGCTTGGGAAGGAAGAAATGAGGTCAGGCCTGGATATTTCACATTCTGGAGAATCCTAAATTTAGAATTTGTGGATTTATTAATCCTGGGATCGAATCTTAATTTAAAAAGAGAGAGAGTGACAGGATAAGATTAATAAACTCATTTATTGAAGGTTGGTGGCTCCCAGGAGTTTGAAGCTCAGCATTTCCCAGATTTTTTTTTTTTTTGGGAATAAACCACCCTGTGGAATTCTCAGCTGTGCAGGAGGAGAGGGGGAAAAAAAAAAAAAAAAAAAAACAAAAACAAGAAAAAGTGCAGGAATATTCTGGCCATCATTTGGGAATTTGGGAATTCAGGGATGCTGACAGCTCCTCATCCCTAATGAACTAATTAGTGACGCTCCCAATTAATTGGGTGAGCTCAGCAAAGGTGAATCAGCTCCTTTTTATGGAAGCAGCCACTGGATGATGTTCCAGGGAAAGAATTCTTGCAAAATCCTCGTGATGCTGCTGGATGGAAAATCCACATGTGGATGGAATTCCAGGATTTTGGGGCAGGTATAGCTAAAATTCCAATTATTTTCTAAAAAATTAATGTGGATAATGGGAGAGTCCAGATCTGATTTGGGAACAATTTGGGAAGAAGTTGAAGGAATTTTTTGTGGAATATTTGGGATTTGGAATTGGATGATCCCTTAAAGATCATCCCAAAACCATTCCCTGATTTTAATCCCAAAATCCAGGATAGTTCTGGATTCCAGTTTTCCAATGGAAAAAATTCCAGTTTTCCAATGGAAAAATTCCAATTTCCCAAAATCCAGGCTAGTTCTGACCTTTGTTTTTTCCAAGAATTCTCACCATTCCTTTTATTTAACGTTGGGAAAAATAATTTCCTCTTTTAACTGGAAATTGAATTTTTTTTTTTTCTCTGAAAGAAATCTGTTGCTAATGAAGATATTATATTAAAAAAAAAAAAAAAAAAGACTGGATTTTATTCCCAACTGGAATTTTTTCCATGGGAAATTTGCCCTGAGGAACAACAAGGAGCTGAGTAAAGCTCAGGTGAGTCAGGGATCACAAGACTGGATTAAAGGAATTTTCAATTTTAGGAACAGCCTCAGTTGTATTTTTCTTTGGAATTTTTTTTTTTCCTTGCTGAAAACTTGGGATAAAAACTCTGAGGAAAAAAAAAAATTCCCTGAGGATTCCATGGATTCAAATCCAGGTAGGAAACTTTGGATAAAGCTCAGGAAAAGTTTATTTAAATTTATAATTAAATATAAATCCTTGATTTTTAAAGGAATTTTTAATTCTGGGAACAGCCTCAGTTGTATTTTCCTTTGGAATTTTCTTCTTTGGTGAAAAGTTGGGATAAAAAAACCACAGAAATAATTTTAAAAATCACTGGAACTAAAATTAATAACGAAAAAACTTTTTAAAAAATCCATGGAAATAAGGGATGAAAACAAAAAAAAAAAAGGGGGATTTTTTGGGGATATAGGATGGACTAATCCTTATTGCAATTATATTGGAATTTTGAGTGTATTTAATTAAAAAAAATCATTGGAACTAAAATTAATAATAAAAAAAGTTATTAAAAATCCTTGGAAAGAAGGGATGGAAACCAAATAAAGATTTTTTTTTTGGCATATAGCATTGACTAATCCTTACTTATATTGGAATTTGGAGTATATTTAATTAAAATAAAGAATTAAAAATTATTTAACTTAAAATTATTTCTGAAAAATAATTGATAATGAAAAAAAAAAAAATCGCTGAAATTTTTAAGGAATTAATGATTCAGCAGCCTGGGAGATCCCAGTGTGGGATCAAGAATTCAGAATTCCCCCCCAGAAAATTTGGAATATAACCAAACCTAAATGCTGGAAAACTGCAGAAATGAGAGAAATATTCCAGGAAAATTCCAACCCTTGGCTCCAAAAAAACTTCAGGAATTATGGAGAGAAACCATTCCAAGGGTGGAATTGCCCCATTTCAAAATCTGATTTGAGGTTTTTTGGGGGTTTTTTTTTGGTTTTTTGGGGATTGTTCCACCACAAGTTGCAGGATCTGCTTGGATTTGTAAATTTTTTTTTTTTTTTGGGATCATTTGGTGAAATCTCTGTGGAAACCTGGAGGGGAGGTTTGAGATTTTGGGATTTGCTGGGGAATCTTATTTGGATTATTTGGGATTTGCTGGGGAATCTTTCTTTGGAATCTTTGGGATTTGCTGGGGAATATTTGGAATATTGACAATTCCTGGAGATTTCCTGAAATGTTCTTAACGTGCCTGGATGTTGAGATGCCACAGGGGAAGGGAGCAGGGATTTATAAAGAAGGATGAGCTGGAATTTTGGAATATCCTGGAATTTCCTCAGTACCTGTTGGTCTGTGGGAAGCTGGGAATGGGAATATTCCAGGATATGAATGGAATTCTTGAGAAAATACCTGGCCTGTGATGTTGATGGGCTTTTCCAAAGGAAATCTGGAATTTTGGGATATCCTGGATTTTCTGCAGTACCTGTTGATCTATGGGAAGCCAAGCTAAGCTGGGGATGGGAATATTCCAGGATATGAATGGAATTGAAAGGGAAAATGAATGTTCATGAGCTTTTCCTGAGCCTAAATATTCCTGTGGTTCAAAATTCCCAATTTCCTCGGATACCCAGCTGGAAAGAGCTGGGATCCAACCTTGGCTGCCTGTGTGTTAATTAAAGATTCCTGTTTTCTTTTTTTTTTTTTTTTTGTTTTTTGGATTTTAGTGGAGATTTCCCTGGGAGAGGAGGCTGGGAAGAGGGAGCTGATGAACGAGGACATCCAGATCCATTCCTGGCCTTGCTCCTATTACCTGGACAGCAGCAAGCAATGGATCCCAGGGAAACTCTCCCTGACCCCCCTTTCCATCCAGTTCAGGGCTGACAAAACTGGAGAGCTCCTGGTGGATTTCCACCTTTGTGGGATCAGCGAGATCAAGAAGGAATCTTCCCATTTAATCTTCAGCTCTTTGACCATCCTGGATAAGGGCACCAAGCATTGGTTCAGCTCCCTTCATCCCAACAGGAATGTGGTGTTCAACATCCTGGAGCATTTCTGGAGGGAGCAGCTGCTCTCCAGGCACGAGGCTGGAGCTGGAGCAGCCTTGGAATTCAGCAAGGGCAAAGAATTAACGGGAATGTTGGAAGGATCCCAAAAACGCCTGGAGGACACGGCCAAGGTGCTGCATTCCCAGGGGGAACAGTTTGACAACATCATGAGGGGACTGCACAAGATCGAGGGGGACATGGATGTGGCTGACAGGTAATGGGCATGGGAACGTTCCCACAGCTGGGAATGCTTGGGGGAGCCTGGAAATGGAACTGTGGGGTCGTCGTTGAGCTGGAGGAGTTGGGAATGTTCAGCGTGGAGAGGATCCAGGGAGAGCTCAGAGCCCCTGGCAGGGCCTGGAGGGGACAAAGGATGGAGGGACAGCACACAGGGAATGGCTTTGAGCTGGAAGAAGTGGAATTAAATGGAATATTGGGATGGAATTCCCAGAGCAGCTGTGGCTGCCCCTGGATCCCTGGCAGTGCCCAAGGCCAGGCTGGATCCCCCCGGGACAGGGGGAGATCCCTGCCCATGGAATGGGATCATCCTTAGGATCCCTCCCAGTCCAAGCCTTTGGTGCTGCTGGGCTCAGGAAATGTTGGGAATTCAGCTCTGGGAATTCAGGAGTGCCACAATCTCCTTCCTGCCAGCCCTGCCCTGCTCCATAGGAATAAAAGTCGGGATAAGTGGAGCTGAGCAGTGTTTGCTGTGTCCATCCCTGCTGCCATTCCTGCCAAATCCAGAGCTCTGCCTGCTCCTTTCCCACCCTTTTTCCTTTCCTGCCCTTTCTTTTCCTGCTTTTTCCCCCCCCACCATTTTCATTTCCTTCTGTTTTTTTCCCTGCCCTTTTTTCTTCCCCCCACAACTTCCTAGAAAACCTTTGCCTTGATTTTTTTTTTTTTTTTTTTTTTTTAGGAACATCCCCAAGCTTTTAAAAAACTTCGGATTTAATAGGAAAGAAACCAGAATTGGGAATTTTGGGGAAGCTCGTGGTAGGATTGGAATATCCCAATATTCCAATGGTCAGGAGTGGGATCAGCCAGGGCTCCTTGGGAATATTTTTGCCAAGTGTTTCCTTATCTTTGAATCCTGTGGATAAAATCCCAGCAGGAATGAGGGGAATGCAGGCTCTGGAGCATGAGGAGAGGAAAGGAATGGGAAAGGACTTGGAATTCCAGGGATTCAAGGGCAGCTAAACATTACCCAGCTCAGAGCTCCAGCAGACAATTCCAGAGGGCTCTTCCCAGTTTTTATTGAATTTAAGGAGCAGGGAATTCCTGGGAATATCCCAAAGTTTTAATGGATTTTAAAACAGGGAATTAAAACAGAATTAAATGGGGATTTTAGGGATGATTATTGTTGGTTTTCTCTTGATAAAACAGGAATATTTTCCTTGCCCTTGGAGCTGGAGCTGAACCTGAAATTCCAGCCCCTGGCTCCTTTCCCTGTTTGCTGGGAATGTTTTCCTTAGGGAGCTGATGGGAAGGCAGAGTCTGGACATTTCTGGGAAGTTTCTCCTGGATTTTGTTCCATCCTAGTCCAAAAAAAAGTCCCCAACCTGGACTTCTTAGTGTTTTATCTGGGAATTTGTGTGTGGAGCAAAGGAAAAAGCCTTGGAAATGGAGATGGATGGGCAGGAGTGGGAATGGGCCTGGAAAAATCCACTTTTAGTTCCCTCCCTCCTGGCTGGGATTCTGGGAGTTTTTCCCAATGGATTCTGAGGAAAAGGTGAAATTTGAATTGATTGGATCCTGGGAGTTTTCCCAGTGGATTTTGAGGAGAAGGTGGGGATTGAACCACCTGAATCCTGGAGTTTTCCCAAGGGATTCTGAGGAAAAGGTGGAATTTGAACCAGCTGGATCTTGGGAGTTTTCCCAATGGATTTTGAGAAGGTGCAATTTGAACTGGCTGAATCCTGGGAAGCTGTAAATGGGTTTGAGGAGGGAATAACGTGCTGGATTTGGGATTTCTTTGTCTGTGGGGATTTTCTTGGAGCTGCTGGAATATCCAGAGCTTTTCCCTCTGCCAACCCTCCCTTCCCTGTTGCAGGCTGTTAACAGAGCTGGAATCTCCTTCCTGGTGGCCTTTCAGCACCAAACTCTGGAAAACCCCTACGGAATCCAAACCCAAGGAAAACCCTGCAATTCCAGATACAAACAAGCAACAAGAAACCCTCCTCAAAATTCCCGTCATCATCACTCACGGCGCGGATCCCACGGCCAAACCCGGCCAGCTCACGGCTCTGCCGTCGGGTTTGGAGATCAGGGATTGCAATTCTCAACTCGTGCAGCGTTTTGCGTGGAGGGACGTGGACGATGTTTGGGTGCACAGCCCTTACGAGATCAGTGTCCGGCAGCGTTTCCTGGGCAGGGCCGATCGCTCGGTTCGGCTGCTGGCGGCTCGCATGCCCCGCCTGGTGCCCGTGCTGCGGGAACAGCTCGGCTCCAAAATTCAGCTCCTGGACGATGCCTTCGGATTTGTCGGAGCAGGGAAATGCAGCCCGCAAAGGGATTTGGGAGAGGTCGTGTGGAAGGCAGGTGGGTGTGAATTGTTAAAAAAAAACCCGGTATAATCACGGACAAAGAGCCTGTAATTAAAATTACAAAGTGGAGTGTTTATTCACGGGTGTCACCTCCCCGAACAAGGTTCTTTATACTCTTATTTATTGCCCAAAATCTTACATACAATACACGTGCATATACAATACATCTCCCATCCCACCCCGTATTAAAATGAGCCCATTCATCCTTCATGCAGGCACAGTTCTTGTCTCAAATTGGGTCAGTGGTCTCGAATTGGGTCAGTGGTCTGCAAGGATGAAGGCAGGAGAGTCTTCATCAGGTCTCTGTGACCCTCTGGAACAATCCAAGGCTTCATGATTAACAGTTTAATTATTTTACCTTCTTCTCTACATAAATTTATAATAGCAGATAATGATACCAATTAACTCCAGCCTAAGCATCTAGTAATTATGAACCTGCCATTTACCCACCTAACTTACATCATGGTCATGGAAACTATTTCTGTTCTTAGCAAAAATCTAAATTTTTCAATCCATGGTTGAGGTGGAAGGGAGTTGTTGGTGTTTTTGCCGTGGGGATTTGGAGAGGGCAGTGGTTCCTGCAGGGAACCTCCCTGGGAGGGGGAATCCAAGGATTCAGAGCCTTTGGTTTTCCTGGAGTTCATTCCCAGCTGGAAGGGAATATCCAAGAGCCAGTAATTAATAGCCAATGTTTAAATCCCATGTCCAATATTCAATATACAAGTTCAATATCCCATATTTAATATCTAATATCCCATATCTAATATCCCATATCCAGTATCCCATATCCCATATTTAATATCTAATATCCCATATCCCATATTTAATACATATCCTATATCTAATATCCCATATTTAATGTCTAATATCCCATATCCAATATCTCATATCCAATATTTAATATCCCACAGCCAATCCTTTATCCAATATTCCATATTTAATAAATATTCGATATCCAGTGTCCCATATCCAGTAATTAATATCCAATAGTTAATATCCTATATCCCATATCCAGTATCCCATATTTAATACATATCCCATATTAATATCCAATATCTCATATCCAATATTTAATATCTCACATCCAATCCTTTATCCAACATTCCATATTTAATAAATATTCTGTATCCACTAATTAATATCCATAATCAGTATCCAATATCCCATATTTAATAAATATCCCATAATTAATAAATACCTCATATCCCATATCTCATATTCAGTATTTATTAATCAATATCCAATGTCTTGTATCTAATAATTAATATCCAATATCCCATACCCCATATTTGATATCCCATATCCAATTTCCAATATCCAATAATTAATATCCCATATCCAAACCCCAGTGTTAATATTAAACCTTTAATTTTATTAAATCCTGAAAATTTATCCCAAAACACCCAGGAAATCTTTAATCAAAACATGAGATAAATCTGATTTTCCCAGATTAAAAAAAAAAAAAAAAATCAGGATTTTGATATCAGACAACTCCAGATGTTGGAATTCCAGAGATTTTTGGAATCATTTGAAGAAAACTTTGGAGACTGAAATTTCCCAACAAGAAAATTCACATTTCCTATTATTAATCCTAAAATTCCAGCATGGGTTGATTTATTTTTAACCCAACCTTTGAAATTTTGGAATTTATTCTTCCCAACATCCTTGAATCCTTTTTTTTTTTCCTTCCTAATTTTTAATCCCAAAGTGCCAAAAAAAAAAAAAAACAAAAACAAACTGAAAAATTGGAATAAATGAATAAATCCACCCATTTCCCTGCTGGAATTCTATATCCTGTTATTAAGGAATATTCCAACTTGAAAAATCTGATTTATTTTTTTATTGAAGGAAATGAATTTTGGCCTCTACAATTCCAGCACAACAACTCCAAATTAAAAAAAAACCAAAAAACCAACCTGCTTGCCTTCCTGTTATTCCACCAAATTCCTGGATCCTGACAGAATTCCCGAAAATAATTGGATCTCCAGCTGTTTTCCAGCTGTTTTCCAGCTGTTTTCCTTCCTTGTTGAATTTGGAAAAGCTTGGGAAGCAAAGGGCAGGTGATGAAAATCTTGATTTTTTTCCAGATTTTTTTTTTTGTTTTATTTTTGGTGTTTTCCTTGGATTTGTCGCTGTTCCCGTTCTGTCACAAGGTGGCGCTCACGGTCTGTGTGAGATCCTTTGGGATTTTTTTTTTTTTTCCATGGAAAACTGAATTTTTTTTTTTTTTTTTCTCTCTTATCAAGAGGGGAAAAAAAAATCCGTTTTTTTGTGCCTTTCTCTCTTGTTTTCCGATAATAAATTGATCCATGGATTTTTTTTTTTAGGATAAATATCCTTGCAGGGCAATGGAATCTCTTCAGAAAATTCTGAATTTTTCCCTCCAAACTGGCACAATCCCACCTGGATCCTGTTTACACCAATCCTGCCCTCATTTTATACATAAATTTATCAAATTAAATTCCCCAAAAAAGTCAATTTTCATTTCATTCCACGTGGAAAAGGAATTTAGGGATAATCTGGAATTCTTTTTTAACTTTTTTTTTTTTTTTCCAGCTGGTTCTTTTGGGATAAACGTTGATATTTTGGAACAGCTTTGAACCAATTTTATCCCAAAAAAAATAAAAAACAACTGAGAACTTCCCAGGATAAAAAAAAAATGGATTTAAATCCTAAATTCCATCTGAAATGGGAGAATTTAAAGCAACTTAATCCTGATATTCCCAGATTTTTATCCCTGGAGATGATGAATTTTCCCTGTTGGATGAATTCCCTGATCATTTTGATTTTCTAGAAATTCATGGAAAAATTAAATATTTTTTTTTTTTGTCTTTCATTTAAATGAACCCAAATATTCCTGACTTAATTCCATCCCTAAAAATTTCCTGGGAATTCCAGCTCTTTTTCCTCATCCCTTTTTAAATTTTTTTTTTTTTTTTGCTGGTTCTTTGGAATTCCCAGTTTTGGTTTTTTTTTTTTTTCCTTATTCCAGGAATTATTCCTGTCCTCAACGGAATAAATGAGGTGGGAAGGATGGATTAATTGATTTTCATGAAATAATTAATATCTGGCTGTTGGTAATCATCAGGAATTTTGTCATTCTCACTTTTCCTGGGGAAAATCCTGGGATAATCCTGAATTTTTTGGGAATGTGCTGCTCCAAATATTCCCATTTTCCAAAAGCTCCCTGGAATTAAAAAAAAAAAAAAAAAGAAAAAATCCTCTGCTGGCAATTTGGTCACATCCAGGAGAGAAATTATAAAGGAATATTCCCAGAAAAACAGAATTTAATAGGAAAAATCAAATCCTGAGCCCTCCCAAATTCCAAATTTAAAAAGCCATTGTAGGAAAATTGTTCCTGGAAATAATGAATTTTTTTTTTTTTATTTTTTTCCCAGTGAAATCTCAGGGAAAATTCATTTATTTACTGAATTCCACATTGATTCCTAACTCAAAATTCCCCTCTGTGTGTTTATGGAATATTTTATGGATTTTTCTGGAATAAGAAACCCAGAAGGAAAACCCAAAAAAAAAAACCAAAAAAGCTGGAAAATTATAAAAATTATTCAAATCAGCATTTTCCAGAATTCCCATTCCAATCAATCCACCCCTGATAAATTAAAACCCAAATTCCAAAAATTTTCATCCCAGCATCGAGGAATATTTCAAATATTCCCCCACAAAAATTAATTGACGGGAATATTTATTAAAATCACCGAAAAAAAAAAATCAGGAATTTAAGAATTCCACAAACAATTCCAAACTTAATATTCCAAGCAAAGGGCAAAGCTTGGGCTAAATTTTAAAATGAAAATTTTTTAATTTTTTTTTTTTTTTCCATGGCAGCCAACGAATTCTTGGGAGCGACGGCAAATCCCGAAATTCCGACGGGAAACGACCAAAAAATGGAAAAAGAACAAACAGAGGTGCAGAAAATATCCCAAGAAGAAGCCAAGGAGCTGAGGCAGGTAAAAAATAAAATTAAAATTAATTTGATGGATAATTAATAATTTTATTGATTCAATTCATCGTTACAATCGGAATTATTTTGTCGATGTCAGCAAATATTCCCGTAATTTAATTTTTTGGGGGGGGGGGAATATTTGAAATATTCCTCGATGCTGGGATGAAAATTTGGAATTTGGGTTTTAATTTATTAAGGGTGGATTGATTGGAATGGGAGCTTTGGAAAATGCTGATTGGAATAATTTTATTATTTTCCAGTTTTTTTTTTTTTTTTAATTTTATTTCTGTTTTTTTTTTCTGAAAAATTTACAAAATATTCTCTAAACACACAGAGGATATTTTGAGTTAGGAATTCAGGAAATAAATGAATTTTCTGTGAGATTTCCTTGGAAAAAAAAAATATTATTTCAAGGAATCAGGTTGGATATTTTTCCTAAAATGGTTTTTTAAGGAATTTCTCTCACAGAACTTGAAGGGAAAAATTCCTCTTTGGAATTTTTTTTTATCCCTCTGATATTTTGATTTTTTTCTGAATTCTTTGCTAATTCATTTGCCTGCACTTTTCCAACTGTTTTGTTGTGTTGTTTGGTATTTTATTTTCTTTTTATTTCATTTAATTTTATTTTATTTCTATTTTTTAATTTATTTTATTTCATTTTTATTTTGTTATTTTATCTTAATTTCTTTTTATTTTTTGATATTATTTATGTTATTGTATTTTATTTATTTTGTTTTTATGTAATTTGATTTTATTTTTATTTTTTACTTTAATTTTATCTTCGTTTTTTATTTTATTTCATTTTATTTTGGTTTTTTATTTTACAAAAATTCATTTATAATTTTAAACTTTTATAATTGTAAAATTTTATTTCTTATATAAAATTTAAAGTATTTGATTTTTTTATTTTATTCTTTATTTTTTATTTATTTTATATGTAATTCTATTATATTTGTTATTTATTTTGCATATTATTTATATTATTTTGTTGCATTTATTTATTTTCTATATTATTTATTTTATTGCATTTATTTTTTTATTTTACATATTTATGTTATTTTGTTGTATTTATTTTATAAATATAGAAAATAAATGCAACAAAATGATATAAATGTATTATTTTGTTGTATTTATTTTAATTTCTCTTTAATTTGTTACCTTAATTTTAATTTTTAAACCGAATTATTTTTATTTTAAAAAAATTATTTCTCTTCTTAAATTTTATTTGATATTCATTGATCTTTATTTTCATTGATCTTTATTTTCATTGATCTTTATTTTCATTGATCTTTATTTTCATTGATCTTTATTTTCATTGATCTTTATTTTCATTTTATTTTTTGATAATGGGAAAAATATCTTGGCAGAGGGCGGGGACGGGTGGGATATTGGCAGGGGATTGTGGGATATCGAGGTGGGCATTATGGGATGTCAGCTCAGGCATTATGGGATATCAAACCTGGGATTGTGGGATATCAAACTGGGGATTGTGGGATATCAAGGTGGGCATTGTGGGATATCAGCCTGGGCATTATGGGATGTCAGCCCAAGCATTATGGGATATGAGCCCGGGGATTGTGGGATATCAAGGTGAGCATTATGGGATATCAGCCCAAGCATTATGGGATATCAGCCCGGGGATTGTGGGATATCAATGCAGGCATTATGGGATATCAGCCCAAGCATTATGGGATATCAGCCCGGGGATTGTGAGATATCAAGGTGAGCATTATGGGATATCAAGGTGGGCATTATGGGATATCAGCCCAAGCATTATGGGATATCAGCCCGGGCATTATGGGATATCAGCCATGGGATTCTGGGATATCAATGCAGGGATTATGGGATATCAGCCCGGGCATTATGGGATATCAATGCAGGGATTATGGGATATCAGCCCGGGCATTGTGGGATATCAGCCCGGGCATTATGGGATGTCCACCCACACTCTCCCTGTCGTGTCCCTGTTCCCTGGTGCAGATCCTGCAGAAGCTCAAGGGGCTGGCTCTGCAGACGGAGGCGGAGCTGGAGCGGCAGGACGAGGCCCTGGACTCCATCGGCAGCTCCGTGGAGCGCGCCACGCTCACCATGGAGCGCCACAGCCGCAGGATGAGGAGGCTGACGTAACGGAGCTGCAGCAGGGGCTCAGCCACACACACACCACACACACACACACACACACAGAGCCTGGGGGGCGTGGGGTGAGCTGTGGGGGGTGGCACTGCCCAGGCTGAGCTCCTGAGAGCGGCCACGGGGTCACGGACACGGAGCGGGGTTTGGATCTCGGAGCTGGTTTGGACCTTGGATGGTGGATGGACCTTGGATGATGGTTGGATCTTGCATGAGATTTCCAGCTTGGATGGTTGGATCTTGGATGGTTGGATCTTGGATGGTTGGATCTTGGATGGTTGGATCTTGGATGGTTGGATCTTGGATGGTTGGATCTTGGATGNGGATGGTTGGATCTTGGATGGTTGGATCTTGGATGGTTGGATCTTGGATGGTTGGATCTTGGATGGTTGGATCTTGGATGGTTGGATCTTGGATGAAATTTGGGTTTTGGATGGTTGGATCTTGGATGAAATTTGGGTTTTGGATGGTTTGATCTTGGATAGATGGATTTTGGATGAAATTTGGGTTTTGGATGGTTGGATCTTGGATGAAATTTGGGTTTTGGATGGTTTGATCTTGGATAGATGGATTTTGGATGAAATTTGGGTTTTGGATGGTTGGATCTTGGATGAAATTTGGATCTTGGATGGATGGTTGGATCTTGGTGGATGGATTTTGGATGAAATTTGGGTCTTGGATCTTGGATGATGGGTGGATCTTGGATGGTGGATGGATTTTGGATGGTTGGATCTTGGATGGTGGTTGGATCTTGCATAACGTTTGGATCTTGGATGAGATTTCCAGCTTGGATGATTGGATCTTGGATATGAGGTTTGGATCTTGGATGGTTGGATCTTGGATGAAGTTTGGGTCTTGGATGGATGGATCCTGGATCATGGTTGGATCTTGGATAATGTTTTAATTTTGGATGAAGTTTGGACCTTGGATGAAGTTTGGACCTTGGATGAAGTTTGGACCTTGGATGAAGTTTGGACCTTGGATGAAGTTTTGGACCCTGGATGAAGTTTTGGACCTTGGATGAAGTTTTGGACCTTGGATCACAGCTGGATCTTGGATGAGCTTTGGAAGCTTTTTTGGATGGCAAGATCTGAATTTCCAGTCTGGATGAAACAGAACTCGTGGATTCTTCACTCCAAAACCCTGTAAATAGGAAGGGATGTGACAAAACCTGACTTAATTAATTTAATTAATTCATTCATTAATGAGCTTTTTCATCCCTCTCCAGTTCTTTCCCTAAAATCCTTTGGAGCCCATCCTGATTTTTTTATTTATTTGCACTCAGTGGTGATGAAACATTTCAGGGTTTTTCCAGAATTCCTAAAAAAAAAAGGGAATATTTCAATTAAAGTCTGAAGTTTACACTTGGCTCTGTTGAGAGCAGATTCCCCCTCCTAAATTATTGATATTCCATAGGAAAAATTCCCATTTCATCAATCCCAAACCTTTTCCAGCTGTTTTACCTCCAAGGAGCTGTTATAAAAGATCTTTTAATTATTTTTTTTATTTTAATTTTAATTAAAATATTTTTAGTGTTGTTTTCAAATCCAACACTTCCAGTGCAATATTTTTCAACAAATCCTTGGATTCAGTGGGAATTCTTCCCATTTTTTTTTTTTTTTTGGAATCCAGACAAATTTTGGGAGAAAAAGGCACCAAACCACATCGAGGGTGTTGCTTGCAAGGTTTGTATTCCTTCATCTTAGTTAGGACTGGAATAAAAATTATTCCAAGTTTTTCCTGGCATGCACTTTATTGGAAAATCCAGTGATAATTCCACATCCATCAATTATTTCCTGGGAATAAAATCCTCTCTCCTGTTGTTTCCCACCCCCAAATCGCTGCTGCTTTACTCAGAGGGGAAAGGAAACTTCCCACATCTCATTTTCCTCATTTTTCCCGTGGATTTCCAAGTGGATTTTTGCACCAAATCCTTGTTTGTTGAGGCTGGGATGGGATCTGGGAGCAGGATGAGTCCAACCCAGAATTCCCAAAAGGAAATCTTTTGGATTGGAGCATTTTTTGGGGTGTTCTTTGTGCCATATATATATTTTTTTGTTGTTGTTGTTGTGAGGTTTTTAGCACTGATTCCCAAAAAACTTGGAATATTCCTTACAAAACCCATCCTGGAGCTGTACATTGGCTGAATTCCATGTGCCAGAAGGATTTTCCACCTGTAATTCCTTCTTATTAAATCTCTTGGAATTGTGATTTGTTTTTTTTTTTTTTTTTTTCTCTCCTGTCTTCACTTGGCTGGGAATTTGTGGGGAAAAAAATCCATCCCTGTTTTCCTGTGGAATGGGATTTCCTGGATCCTGGGTGGGAATTGGGCTTTAGGATGGGTTTATTTGGGATTAAGAATGTGGAAAATATTCCCTGCTGGAATGTGACCCTGGATGAGCTTTAAACTTCCAACACAAATCATTCCAGAATTCCATGATTTTCAGTGAGGCTGGGAAGAGTGGCTGATATTCCAAAAGGGACCTCAAAATCCTGGGGAAAAAAAATAAAAAAAAATGGGATCCTCATGGATTTCCCAAGAAGAAAATCCTGCCCTGGGGAGGAGCAATCCTGGGAATTGGGATGTGCTGGAAAACAGGAGGTGCTGCTGGATGGAATTCCCAAATGGATTGGGTTGGAAGGGATTTTTTTTTTTTTTTTAGGATCATCCAGTGCCATCCTCAGGGACACTTTCCACTATCCCAGGTTGCTCCAAATAATTTTTTTTCCATGGGAAGTGGATTGGATGAAATGATTCCTTCCATCCCAAACCATTCTGGGATTTTCTGGGATTTTTGTGCCGTATTCCTGACTCCCTTTTGTGGGCTGGAGATCCTGAACTCTGTTGGAATCCTGGCTGTAAAAATTCCACAGGGGAATCCCAAAATTCTTTGAGGGATTCCAAATGGGAATTCTGTGACAAATGTGGCAACAGAACCCAAAATTGAAGATTCTGGACAGCTCAGGGATGGTTCCCTCTGCAACAACCTGGATCATCAAAGGAACCTGCAGATCCCTGCATTTGGGAATTTTTCATTTTTCCTTATCCAATCCTCTCCAGAACTTTTCCAGCTCCCAGAGGTGAGTCAAACTTGGAAAACACATCCCCCCCCAAAAAAATAAAAATAAAAAAAAGGAAACATCTCGGGAGCTGCTGTTGTATCCCAGAGTGTGAAATTCCACGATCCCAGTGCCAGCTCTGTGTCCTTAGGGCTGCTGGTTTTTCCACTTTTTTTTTTTTTTTTTTTAATGGATTGCTGTTTCCAAGCACAGCAAATTCCCAGAGTGAGAAAAATCCCATTCCAGGTTGGGTTGAAATGCATCGTTTTCCACCTTTCCATTAAAAAAAAAAAAAAAAAGGAAAACTTAAGCTCATAAACACCCCTGGAGAACAGGGGTGAGATTTTTTTTTCCCCCTTTCTCCTTGGCTGTAACCACGGTTGGGGATTTTTAAATTTTTTTTAAATCCATGGAAATAACGGGGAAAAAAAAATAAATCCTGTTTCGATTTACAAGGAAATACCTTGTGCCAAATTCCTTAAAAAAAAAAAAAATCAAGAAGGAAAGGAAAGGAAAGGAAAGGAAAGGAAAGGAAAGGAAAGGAAAGGAAAGGAAAGGAAAGGAAAGGAAAGGAAAGGAAAGGAAAGGAAAGGAAAGGAAAGGAAGGGTGGTGGGAATTGTGCATGGAGATGGCTGGAGGGGAATGGGAGCATGGATTTGGAATTTCAAATTGTGCTGTTGATCCTGGTTGTGGGGTAACACAATTCCAGGATGGGTTGGGTGGGAAGGGACCTTAAGGATGATCCCAGGGACCTCCCCTGTCCCAGGCTGCTCCAACCTGGCCTTGGACATTCCAGGGATCCAGGGGCAGCCACAGCTGCTCTGGGAATTCCATCCCAGCCAGGAATTCCATCCCAATATCCCATCTAAATCCACTTCTTCCAGCTCAAAGCCATTCCCTGTGTGCTGTCCCTCCATGCCTTGTCCCCAGTCCCTCTCCAGCTCTCCTGGAGCCCCTTCAGGCCCTGCCAGGGGCTCTGAGCTCTCCCTGGATCCTTCTCCTCTCCAGGGGAACATTCCCAGCTCTCCCAGCCTTGGGGCATCCCTGTGGGATTTGATGGCTGAAGCTCTTGGGAGATGGATCCCACCAGGGACCCCCAAGGCCAGCCTGGGACAGTGGGAGGTGTCCCTGCCCATGGCAGGGCTGGCACTGGATCATCCTTCAGGTCCCTTCCAACCCAAACCTTCCTGGGATTCCATTATTCCATGAGAAAGAGCATTTTTTTTTTTTTTTTTAATTTTTTTTTTCATGCACAAAATCTCCAGCAGTCCCATTTTCTAAACTGGGAAGGCTTTTTTTGGGAAGTCCCATGTCCATAAGCTCTGTCCTGAGGGAAAAGATTTTTTTTTTTTTTTTTTTTTTTTTTGGGAAGTGGAGCAGCTCTAAACCAATTCCACCTCTGTCATTCCTGGTGCTGGGATCTCGTGATTTGTGTCAGCTCTGAGTTAATGGCAGGGATCCATTTCAGGCTTCATCCACAGAAACTCTGGATAAAAATCTCCCTGATATTGGGAAATTCCAAATCCCCTCTTTTCTGGAGCCACCTGGCTGTGCCACTTTTGCTGTGAATGGGTTTTGTGGTTCCCAAAAAGCTGAGAATTTCAAGGAAAGGAGGAGATTTGGGTGGTGGAGGAGCCATTTCCCCCTCGTGGCTTCCACTTGGAATGTGGATGGAACATTCCTGGGAGCTCTGCAAGTGCTGGGATCTCCTCCCTGACAATTCCAAATTCCCAAAATCCAGGAGGGGGGATGGAAAAGCCAAGGGCAGCACTTGAAACTTCCATGATCCTGATTGGTCCCTTCCCATTCGAATTCCAGGATTTTCTGCTGAGATTCCCTGTGGGATACAGAAAATGAGGGAACAGGGATGACTTAAAATCCTTTTGGGGTTTTTTTTTGGGGGGTGGGGCTTGGATCAGCTTTTCCAGCTGATTTT